CCCCCCCCATTGCCTGCTGTCAATCAGCAGAGAGGACCTGATTGAGAACTTCGTCTTCAGTTCCCTCCTTTGCTGATTGACAGCGGGCAGTGGGTGGGTACAATAGCCAGCCTGCTATTGGCTATTGCAATTTAAAATATCCAATAGCAGGCTGGCTATTGCTCCCAGCCAGTAGTATACGAACTTTCTTTGATCTCCTCTCAGTCCCCTTATGCAGGAAGTGATGTATAGTACATCACTTCCTGCATTCAGTGTCACTCTCCAGCTACATAAGCTGATGAAGCAGATCTCTGCTTCATCAGCTTCTCTGGGGGTCCCTAGGTGACATCAGGGGTCTTTGAGACCCCTGATGTCTCCATAAAGGGACCTGTCATGTAAATTGGCTATCACAAAGGGGGCTTCTTAGCCCCCCATGTAATAGCAATAAAGTGTGTGTAAAAAAAAAAAAAAAGTAATGAAAAAGTTAAAGAATCAAAAAAATAACGAAGCATAAAAAAATGAAAAAAGAAAACATTTACACACGCAGATATGCGTCGGGTGCGCCTACGTGCGAAAACGACGATTGCGCCTATTGTGCCGCACATGTTACATATCGCCGCATACGTCGGAGTGAGAGTAATCATTTTAGAGCCATTAATCACTGATAACACTAAACTCTTGAGCAGTAAAAGTGTTTTAATTGTCGCCTACGGGCGTTTTTTTGCAATTTTGCGGACGCATGCAATTTTAAGGCTTGACATGTTTGGTGTCTATTTACCCGACGTGACCCCGACTTTTATGTTTTACTAAAAATATAGGTAAGAATAAATGTTTTATAACATAACGTAGGGAAACTTTTTTTTTTTTTTTTACATTTATGGTACTTTTTTATTACGGTATATAGTAAAAAAAAATAACCCCCCCCCACCTAGTGGTCATTATATACCTCCAAAATCTAGATATAAATAGATATATCTATCTATATCTATATATATATAGATAGATATATATATGAACAAGTATGGTTTGTTTGCAAGGGTTGCTAGAAGAAAGCCTCTTCTCTTTAAAAAGAACATGGCAGCACGGCTAAGGTTTGCAACGTGGCATCTGAACTAACCACAAGACGTCCACAAACAATTTCCTTTGGACAGACGAGACCAGAATGCAGATGTTTGACCGTGATGCACAGCGCCACGTTTGGCAAAAGCCAAACACACCATGTCAGCACAAACACTTCATATCAACTGTCAAGCATGGTGGTGGAGGGGTGATGATTTGAGCTTGTTTTCCAGCCACAATTGTGAGTCAAATGTGAGGCCATCTGTCCGATAGCTAAAGCTTGGCCGGATTTGGGTCATGTAACAGGACAATGGTCTTAAGCACACCATTGAATCTACAACATAATGACCGAAAAGAAAAGTATCCAGTTGTTGCAATGGTCCGGTCAAAGTCTAAACCTCAACCCGATTAAAATGCTGTGGCGGGAAGAAGAGTAAACCAAAGAAGAGTAAACCAAAATTCCTCCACAATGATGTGAGAGACTGGTACAGTCATACAGATAATGATTACTTCAAGTTATTGCTGCTAAAGGTGGTTCTACAAGCTATTGAATCATAAGGTGTACTTAGTTCTCACACATGGCTTCACCATTTTGGCTTTATGTTTGTAAACTATCTAATGCAATATGT